CATCAATGGAGTTCACTTGTCCTTCCTTCTTCAGTTATTTTCTATGCATGCAATCTCTAGCTTAGTGTCAAGGCTTTCCAAAAACATAGCAAGGTCCCTTGGACTTGTTTTTGAACTTCCATTGATCCTTTTTAGGACCAAGATGTTTTCCTTTCTTTTTGTATTTGTTGGTGTTGTCAACATTATCCATGACATTGGCTTTCAAAGAGCCATCATAAAAACTTTCCGTCTTATCTCTTGCCCGCGATTCTTCCTCTATACAAAGATATTTTTGTATTTGTTCCAAAGGAAAATCTTCGAACTTGTGAATAATGTTCTTCCTATATCATTTCAAGACCCCGAGAGTTTAGCAATAATTGCTCTCACTTGAAAAGTTTCGGGAAGTTTGATTTTCAATGCTTTCAGTTTATTGACAATAACTTGTATTTCGTGTACTTGAGGCAACAACGAAATGTTATCCAAAAACTTAAAATCAAAGTATTTAGAGATTAAGAATTTCTTCGTACCTTCCTCTTCGGCCTCAAATTTACTCTCAAGTGTGTTCCAGATTTCTTTTGTCGAAGTGGTGTTGGTGTAGAGATAATACAAACGATCTGACAACACATTTAGAATGTGGCCACGACATATTAACTCATCATCTTCCCGTTTCTTTCTTTGTGCACGAACTTCATCAGTATCTTCTTCGGTTGCATCGGGAGTATTCTCCAATTTTGGATCAAGAACATAAAAAATCTTCAATGCCGTAAGGAGGAATTTCAGTTTGTCTAGCCACCTTGTGAAGTTTGCACCATCAAATCTGTCCAAGCGTACCAAGTCTTCATTCATCATCTTGGTTGTTGCAAGTGTAGACTCCATTTCCATCGCACTAAAATAAGGAAATATCGTTTGAGAATGTTGGAAAAAAAATATGAATGACAGCAATGAAAACCAAGAAAAATGGAGAAGAAGATAAATAAGAATAATAATATCGAAACAATACTTGATCACGAAATGAAATCGTTGTCCTCAAATGATATTTGCTTCCTTCTCTATGCTTTTAAGGATTAAAATTGGCAAATAGTTTGTAGGATTTTCAAACCTCGAATGAAGAACGCCGAAAGCAATGTGATTTTTTTTTTTTTT